TTTCTATAACGATAAATATTTGATTGACATTTAAAAGCTATTTTATAAAGATTTTCAATTTCTCTTTGCGTTTTAGCTTCGATTTTTCGGATAGAATAAAATGACAGGCAGCCTACTCCACTGGGTCGAGTTTTGCTGTGCAAATTCCTCCCGTCGGGGGGTTATGTTTACAACATAAGCTTGTCAGCTTTGCGCTGATTGGCTAGTCGCATTTTCTCAAATCACCCAGTACTGGCAGTGAAATTTCCGACACGTGCGTAACACACGGTTGCATAATGGCATGTAATGAGCTTCTTATACTAATGGTGTCAAAGAACTCAACATTTTAAAAATGAGAAACCCACCATGGAAAAATAAAAAGATTTTTTTGTGCTTTCATGGAAGTCGGTTAAAAACACGTTTTTTCTTGTGAAACGTTAAATTCATGAAATTTTCGATAATTCCGAAATGGCCGCGAACTATCATAGGGGCTTGAGTCGAGCCTTGTATGACGTCTACTAAGGAACCATAGTTCTCACATCGATTGATATTTCAACTAAGAATTGTTGAAAGTTGGCTTATAATTCAAAAGTGTTTATAATAGGAATGAATACCTTCGAATCTCCACCATTTACTTTGAAAGGCTCTAGAAATGTGAGAGACGATTCCTTAGTAGACGTCACATTCGCACAAGGCCCCTGATTTCCAAGAGAGCGCATTCTTCCGAACTGGAGGGAATTCAAAATAACAATAAATATCGGGAATTTATCCAATTCAAAATCTTTTTGCGGCAAGTTATTATTATAATAGGATGGATTATCCTAGAATTCATATCAAACTTATTGCCATACATCGGGTGACATTTGCTTTGATTTCATTGGATTAGATCTTTTGATATGTTATAAATGAAGAGGCTGAAAAAAACACAAATTCGGCATTTTTTAAAGAATATATAGGTTAATCGGTCATTAAGAAAGCAAAAAGCTTTGAATTTTGCTCTCCGAAACCCTGGGACTCTTCAACAATGRCTTTTAAAGTTTTTGAAACGAACCGTGTTACGCTGGAGAACAACAGGCATAAATCGCTCAAAATTGAAGGAAATTGCCTGAAACTTCAAAGAAATGTAAAGAAAAACACAATACCATGACAGAGATGTTTATTTTTGTTATATTTCAAATATTTCTAAAAAGTACACAAATGCCTAGCTTGGGCTTCCTGTGATCGCCTGGCTATTTTGATGCTCAACAGAGGCGCGCAAAGCATAATGGTGCAAACTGGGCCTTTAAATCTTTTTAGTATATTTTAGTATAATTGTCTGTTTTAAATTAATTTCAAAAAATTAATAAATATTATTTAAAAATTAAAATTGTTAAAACAATTGCACCATGAAGGCAAGTGGACCACGAGGTGATAGGCAGCCCATGATAGATAGCCCACTATGATAGC